AATAATTTCCCCTTAAATCTGCTCCCAATATTTAAAAAATTTGAAATTTGACGAAGAAATAAATGTAAATAAATTACGAATGATTTTTGTATACCTTTGCTTTTTTGTAAATCTTATATGTGGATCACGTGAGACTTTTTAAAATTATAAATTCGTTATAATAATTTATTTAATTATATGGCTGAAATGAGCTAATTTTACGAACTCTTTCTTTCTAGATTTTTTGCCAAAATCATCAATTTATGCCATGAAGCCAATTTTCCTTATTGGTGCCAATTATAGGCAGAACGGAAAATTCGTCCCCCAAAATAGTTTCCAGACACCCCTCCGATTTTTCTCCCTCCTGACAGAAAAAAGGGGGGGAACAGGAATAAAACGAGAAAAAAGAGGGAGAGGCCTGTTGGTTCCAGATGGGAGGCGTTTCTCCCTTGTACAAACACTCATTCGCCGTTGTATATGTGCTTGCCATGCAGGGCAGCATCTATCCCGGATCAGTAGTTTGTTTTACGCAGCAGCGGGGATTCCTCCTCGTCCTAAACACACTCCGACGGCTCATTCTAGGAAAGCGTCGAGCGACTCAGCCAACAGTCTTGGCTGGTATATCTAATCAGAACATCATAATCTGATTTTCTGTCAGATTTATTCAGGGAATTTCTGTTTAAATTGAGAGCAACCGTTCATCTTGGCTTTCACCTCACGTATCTCTCCATGTTTCCGCATTCGCGAAATGCAATCCTAGAACCCTCATGTCTGGGATCAAAGGAACATGCCTCACGTGAAGAAAATAATGAGAAACAATCCTACAAAAATTTGGCTGGAGAACTTCATCGATCACCGAATTCTGACAGCTGCATCGTTTCCACATTCTGCATCAAATATTACTTAATTGACCGAGATCCAAACACTCGCCTCAAAGAAGCCTGCGTGGATGGCTTATAACATAAACTTGCACGGGTGCAAACGCTTTCATGTACTGTCAACTGGCCTGCAATCGTCTATGCATTAGCAGAGTCGTACTTGCGCGATTTGCGCTCTTCTGAAAAAGTTGTCAACGTTCATTAGATGAAAATCCTCGATTTTTTATATTATGCGAATTGGTGAAACAGTAGATGCAATGCAAAATAGCAAATGCACAGCTCTGCCACCTACGACATTCAGTCATAATCTCCAAGGTGGTTCGAGTCAGCATGAACGAACCACCGTCTGTGCAACTCCGAACAAAATTTGCTCCTGTCTCTCCACCTCTGAGGAGAGGATAAGTGTTCTTGAAAATGATTGAGGTGCCCTCTTATGTTTGCAGCGCTGTTGTCGGGTCGTTTGAGGACGAAGCAGGCAGCGGCATGCGATGGGGACATCCTGAGTCTCCAGTGCCCTGGTAATACGTCCATCCTGGTGCAGTTGGCCACCTACGGCCGACATCCCCACACTCTCAAAGAGAATGTGTGCCCTCATTCCTCCACCTCTACCGTCATCCTCCCAGCCTTGCACGGCTGCGGTTCCACCAATGCCATCGAGGTACATCCAGTGCATCTTTCCCTCTCTCGATCTGAATGAATCTGAAAAGTGGAATTTTCAGACACATTTTCCCCTACAAGAAAGCATTCACTGAAATTAAATAAGCTTAACGCAGTATGAACTTTAAAAAAGAGCCCAGAGAAGAATTGGAGAATGGAATCGGTTCCAGTTGACATCCTTGTATATAATCACGTCCGGCTGTTTGTATACAACCATGCCATATTGCTTGCTGCGATTGTATTAACATGAAAAATTATGGTAGCATGCATCAAGAGAGCTGTTATGGCTTTAAATACGAGCGTAACTTTCAACTTATGATATTGCGGATATTCCATTTTTGAGTTTAAGGAATAAACGAAATGAAAATCTTCTCTGTCTTTAGATACAAACCAAAGGGGCTCCAAAACAGCAATCTTCCGAGCAACCGGAATCCGGTACGCCGCAAAAAAATAGTACGTTGGAAAATAATAATGAGAGCGAAAGAAAGCGAGATATAATAAACAAATAATTAAAATCGAGAGTAAAAAGAAAAATAAGTAACAGGATATACAACGAGAGGTGAATGCAGAGATGGAAGAAATGGAAGTCACATCGAAACACAGAAAACAACGGTGGAGCGAAAACGAATAGAAAATGAGAAATAGGAAGGGAGAGAGATGGATTCAACGGGGGTCAATCCAGGACTGGTTTTGGCTTTTTAAAAAATACAGATTCCTCGTTTTCTGGGGTCATAAATGAGATCTCCAGTTTCCCTGTTTCGATGGTAAGGAGTTATTAGAGCGAATTCCCGCCGAGTCCTTGTAGTTGAGTTTTGCATTAAGGACGTGCTTCTTCGCACGGTCTGTCCCAACTGTGCAGACTGTCTGAAGCACAAGTATTGTGCTTTACACGGTCTGCAAACAGTAAGGTGGATCACGTTGGGACTGGAACAAGTCATAAGTAAAAGGATTTCAAAGGATTAGCCGTTCTGTGAAGATGAAAGAGTTTATTTTTCTTCTTTTTAGGGGTAGATAGGGCAGGTCTCACCTTTCCAGTGGGTAAAATTAGGATGGGGAGTGCGGGTAGGAGTCAACTTGGAGCGCATGAGGATAACTTTCACATTTCCTCCGTCGTCTCAAGGCGACCATAGGTGGGAAAGGGAAGCCTCTCTCAATTCGTCGATATGAAAAAAAGTCGTTTAAAACCCTTGTGAATCAGGCCATGGATGCGAGAGAGATACGGTGGTCAGATTTAATAGTGAGCTCAGAGCGGCGGTCAAGGGAATAAAGCTTCTGCCGAGGATTAATCGGGGAATCACTTTGGGTTTGTGCGGATTTGCACGATCGAGAGTTCTTGCCTTCTGAAAAGCCTTGACAATCGTGTTCATGAGGGAGCCTCGTTTATGAGATGGCTTTTAATTCTTGGAAACGCTTGGAAGAGGAGCTCTGATTTGAGCAATCCGTCCAAAGCGTGTAACGAGACTGAAAGGGCCATACTTTTTCTTTTCGGGAGAAAGGGTGAGATGAAGAAAGGAAGCAGGATTCCGAGTTCGTCGCTTTTCTGCATTTTTCGAGACAGCATCTCCTTCATTAGAAAGTCAAATGAAAAATGGATACATTTCAAGGTTGGGTGGGTGTAATTCAAGGTGTTGAAATCATTATGTCTTTAAGATTCGTTCTGCAGACGTATAAAATATGTCGTTCGTAAAACATAGCCAAATATTGAATAGAAGACCAAAAAGGACGATCTGCTCAGCCCTCCTTTCCTGGTAAATGTAAAGAAGCTGATAACAAGCATGAATACTCTGAAGCTATTGAATCACGTGCCTTTTTGCGCTATCGACTTTTTATTTCAAGCATCAATAAAGTACTGCATAAATGAGGATTTATAGCTGTTGTGTTGTTCAAAGGCTCACCCAGGTGTATTACCTCACGCCTTGAGTCGTTGAAAATTCGGAACCTGCTATTTTAAGATGAATAAGTTCACGGTGAGCCACGGTACTTTGAAAAGTCAGTCGACTAGTTCTCGAAGGTTCTACTTGTCATATTAACAAAATGATATCAGATTAATTTAAGTGCGTCCTATTTTACGAAAGAACACCCAATCTCGGTGACGATTGTCTTGTTCAACGGTTGAGTTATTTTTATTGCATGCAGCGGTAGCCTGTGTTTTCGTCACGCTTCGATAATCCTTTACTTTGTGTCTCAAGGTATGAATGATGATATGGCTAGGGTCAAAACCCGTAAATACGTGACATTTAATTGAATATGCATGGGCGTCGAACCGTGAACAATAGTTGGTCACGAAGCCATTTATGCTCCATGCATTCAGAGACGATAGAGATGATGCTTTTCAATCGCTCTACGGGAATCATTTCTTAAGGTATCAGCATTTGTTTTCAATTCTGAATGCCTTGTGAACGTCCCTCACGCAGTGTCAATATCACATATCAAAATATGTCCCACCTTTTTTTGTATTGTAAAAGATGAATGAATTGAAGCGAATCATCCCTTCATATTGACTGAAGGCGAGTAAAAAGATAAAAGGACGAGCCTGCCATCTGTAGCATCACCTTCGTCGCTGAAGCGCGACGGTGAAATGAACTTTCACTTTCCTTCTTCCTCTTTCATTTTTTCGGATGATGGGAGTTTTACGCGGCCATCTCACGTGTATCGCTTTCTCTGCCATCATGTATGTATATCTTTAACCGAAGAACGATTCCCCCAGCCTCTCCATCACAATACACGGTTTATTCTAGTTGCAATGAGCTCTTTTGATGAGTTTGCATATCAGGTGCTTTCAACGGACGCCTCATCAGTCCCAAAAAATTATATCACGAGGAAGCAGCATAGAAGATATTGCCTCGAGGGGAATCCGGGAAATGAGGGTGTAAAAGGGAGATTTTCTGACGAGAGAAGAAAATCTCATTACATCCTCATCTTGTGAGGAGCTGTATCGATCAATTCCTCTCTCCCCCTCTCATCCGCCCTCTTTCCTGTCGATCATGTGAAAGAGGCACTAATGAGACTCCTGAGGGCCCAATCATGACATTAATTAATTAATTAGGTTCGCATTCGTCAGGAGCTCTTCCCGAGGAGTGAAAAAAAAGGGTTTTTGCGATCTGTTACATCTAACATTTATGTGGGCCATTCCACGGTAACGTGCGGGATATCCCACAGCACAAGCAATTTTTTTTTTACATACTTTTGTTTAATTCTTTAAGCAGCACGCATGACAACTTCATGTGAGCTCAAGTGAATACAGATGAAATGCCAAAATATACATCTTCTTTCATGCTCTCCCTCAAGCGACATTGACATTGGCACTTCAAATTTTGGTTACGGCCGGGACAGAAAATGGACAAGGCAACGGAACTAAATAGACTCCTCTGGTTTCTGTGGAAGTTTCCATCAGGAATCTTTGCCTTTAAGATATGTTTCATGGTAAATGCCATGTTAGCCAAAGAGCCAACCTTTAATCGCAATGTGTCCGTGACACATTGCGAAATGGGACACGTGCGGATGAGTCAATTTCGTCGCATGTTTAGACATATGCTACCACATGTCGCATATGGGACTGGCTATCCTTCCAGACAGACTAAGTATGTTCGTTCGGGTGACCCAGTGTCGCACACGTGCGACATCTGTTCTGTTTCCTTTTATTCGTCATTGGGTCTTGGGAGAAATCACAGATACGTACTACAGTTAACTTTTTTTTTTTACCCAAGGAAACGAATGTAAATTGATTCCTGTACGTAACAAAATTCCCATTTTTTGTGCAAACATCTTTTCAAGTAATCTCAACGGAGGTTTACAGCAGGTTTATAGCATTTCAAGTAAATTGATTTAATGAAAATTGCTTTTATTCAAAATTTAAATGAAGTAAATATTATTGACTTTTTAGAGTATTGAATTTTATGATGTGGATAAATTTGAATTTTTCTTATGCCATACCTGTCGTAGCCTTCAAATGAGATGTTTTCTTGGTAATGCATGAGAATTCTCTTCTGTTAGACCTACGGTGCCTCAATCTCCGGATGAAGCGCCTTAGAGATGATCTCGTAACTGTTATTGTCCGTGTCTGTTAGTCAGTTTCAACGCTCTCAAAACTGCCGCTGCTTGGATGTTATCCGAAATTGCAGTTTTAAAAATATAGATTAAGTTCATCTAGGTTAGGAAATACCATAATTCTCAAGACACCGACATCGATAGCTAGATCAATCAATGCCTAGATATTCCAGATCTTGGGAGGCCGCTCCCAGAATTTACGTTGAAGTTAGTGGAATGTTCAAAACGGGTTTAACGGTGCCTCTAACTTTATATTCACACTTTTCATAATTGCGATGGAGTAGATGGTTCGATTGAAAGTCCGAACCGTTCTAAACCTGGATGGTAATACTGGCTAAGCATGGCTAAATTAGAGGGTTTCTTCAGGCTTCATCCAATGCTAGGGACATTTATGTTTTTAGGGGAAAATTGCCCTTAGTTTTCATCAGGGACCTTTTTTGTGCCCGCCTGGAGATGGTAGCACCCGCGGCGAATGAAGCTGAAGCAGTGCAGATAGCCTTGCGACAAAAAGATCTTCAGCTGGGAGACAAGGATATTCACGAAATTCCTCAATTGAAAAAGGGGGGTATAAAAAAGGACTCAAATGGTCATGCATGCTGTCATGTCAATTCCTAATGGAAGGAAACGTATTATGGAATTCCCTCATCCCATGCGTTGATTTTCAAAAACAACTACTTCCTTGTGTCTGGATATCTGGTTTCTTGGAAGTGCTCTGGGTCGTCTGTATGTGTACTTCTTGGAAGGCTTCATCCAATTTTTATCCACTAATAAGATGGCGGCATTAACGAGGCTGAGCAATTCCCATGGAGAGGATCACATGATGAAAGTAGCCACCTTAGATGAGGTTTTCCTTCCTCCCCCCCATCCCTTCCTTCTCCGGTCTCCTTGCCACACCATCATGACCTTGAGCAAAGTTGGCAACACTGTCCTCTATCTGATAGCGACCCGTTTTAGCATTCGTAATGGGAATGCGAGTCTCGTGTCAACTTCCTTAACCCTTTCACTGGCAGACGGAAATTTCAATCTCTAACCTCCTCCTGGAGGCGTCATTAGAGGAAACATTGGCATCATTGACATCTCCTGAACGTCAGGAGGCCGAGGAAGTGAAAGGGGATAATATGGTGGACCATGACCTTCTTCGTGTCTAGCGATTGTAAATATCAAATTTTCTTAAGCATATAACAAGATTTATTATGTTTTTCATGCCGTTATTCTTAATATGTGCTGTCGTATGCTTAACACATACTGCTATGTGCCAATTTTTCTCGAGCAAAGAAGGAAATAGTTTGGGATAGCAACAAAAATCGGCATAAATTCACTGTGACTGCGTGGAATGAGATACTTAAAATAGGACTTTATCTCTCAAAATGAGTACCAAATTTTATTTAGCATCTATTTTGGAATAAGTGCTTAGGGTCATGGATTATACTGATCATGTTTTGAGAATAGAGACATCAACTACATCCATGCACTGTGACAGCATGAAACGAAACGTATTTAAAATTTAAGTTGTGACCGATTGGTCGATACAGTGGCCCATGTAGACTTCTAGAGATTGATGTCAAGGAATATTTAAAAAATATTAGCAAGAATTCCAACAACAACAAAAAAATATATATATATATTATATCTGACATATGATTGAAACCCAAACCAAATTGAAACCCGACGTAACTGTGGCGAGATCCATTTTCCCTCCATCTCCATTTTCGCTCATCCGACAGAGGCGCGCTTCAGTGGACATAGCCCTTTCTTTTCGCTTTCATTGTTCGGAATTCTTCCCTGCGGTCACGACGATTTTCATATCGTTGGAAAGTTCTCTTCGTCTTCAGTATATAATGCAGGAGGACTCTTGCAGGAGTCTCGACTGGGCGATACAGGAAAGATGAGTGAACCCCGCGCACAGATTATTTAAAATAAATTCTACTGTATATTACAGCGCAAAACTCCCAAGTAACTGACTTGAAATGTCGGCCTGTCATTGAACTGGATCATGTTCAGCTTCGTTATTGAATTATAAATTATGTCCTCGTAAGGTATGTCCTACCTTATTTATTTATTTATTGCAGTCGGTGGTGTCAGAGTGCCAGAATAAGAAGGGGTGTCGGATCAAGGTCTCGCCTGAAGTCGTTGGGCAGGATCCTTGCCCAGGGCTCGGGAAGTACCTCGAAGTTGCCTACAAATGCCATCCCAGTAAGTTAGTTCAGCCCATCTGGTCATCGACAAAAAATCAGGAAAAAACGCAAGGAATAACTACTTATCTGCCTTGGCAACGTGAATCTGACAGGATGGTCCACCCTCTCGATAACTTGCCGCCATAACTGTCCCAGAGCATTGAGATAAGGTGGGGTGCGAGCAAAAGAAAGTGTGCAAAATGTGTGTTTTGGCACAGACAGAAGAAGTTTGGCTGAAAGCCAGATCGGATAGAGGGAAGAGTATAATATGGGACGGTGACCTCTTCGCTCTTCCTACTCCTGATGAAGTTTTTTTTTTCTTCTCCACGGTTTCCTTCATTATTATGGTCCTGTTTTCACGCCCGTATGGACAGTTTCCATCCACTATATCACGGAATTATTTTCGGAACAGGTCGACTTGAAACAAGTACTCATGCCGTAGTAACCGACCTGCCCGAAATTCCGACTCAGAATACATAGTTTCAAGAAGTTAATTTATCGTTATTAACGTGCCTAAATGTTCATTAAAAGGAACGACAGGAAAATGTGCAGGTTTGAATTTGCGTCGTCGATTTGCAATAGGACAACTTATATTGAAGACTGAGCAAGTGCAAAATTGTTTATAAATGCCACCGGTTGGATTGAAGCCGGTTCACCATGTACGGTTGATTCAACGATGAGAACTGCGAGACCAGGACGCATTTCGACAACTGTGACTCACTGTCTTCCCCTCAATATCTGTGTTATACATGTTAAGGATCTTGCATTTATTGTTGCAACGTATATGTTTAGACTTCAGGTGTCACCTGAGCCTAAAAGATACATGAGCTAAGCCATACACAAGCTGTTTCTTCATATCTCGTCACCCGACATCTAATTTCTTCATTTTCCGCCTAATTCGCTCCTTTAGCTTGGTCCACGAAGCATCTTGTTCAAGTGAGCCGGTGGATCATCAATTATTTCGGCTATACGAGGCATCCCAAGAAGTTCGACGCGTTTACCAGAAAACTTCACTTCTCCTGATCATCAGGAGAAGCGGGGCTTCAGTATTCCGTCCGATGACGAGTATTTTCTGTGGAAACTTCAAAATTAGTTTTTTTTTTCGAAGTTTGAATTTTTTAGATTAAATATTCGGTCTAAGGGATTGAGCCAAAGCCATGGAAGAAATAAGAAGCTTGGGAAGCCTGAGTTTAAAGTGGGACTTGGACCACTCCGTCCAGTGGGTTGGGCAAAGCTTGGAGACTGAAGTTGTGGCATCTTGCTCTGCTCCAACTTAAGATAACACCAAGTGGAATGTTTGGCGCCACCATGGCTTCATTTGCATGTCGCGTTATCAAATGTTGGTAAAAAAAAAATAAATAAATAAAATAAAATAAAAAGCTACCAGAGCAACGTAGAGCGCTCTTTGCCCTGGGAGTGACAACTCAATAAACCTCCAGAAAGGATTAGGCTCATTTAGCGCTCTTTCGAGAACTAGCTCCTTCCACTCTGTGGTTCTCGAACAAAACGCCATCGTAATTAACGCTTAAAGTGTTGAGTTTTTCTTCCAGGCGTGTGCACCGCCAGCGTTGAGTTTTTTCTCAAGATTCGCAAGCATTGTTCATTTCAATATTTCTAATCTACTCGAAACTTTTAGGCCATCTATCATTGGGAAGCGGGTAGCAGGAAGAGTCTTGAAGTGTTTCCGCCTCAGTCATTTCAAAACAATTCAGTATGCTTGGACAGCCACAGTAGAGAATGGAAAACTCGAATCCAGTATACTGGACAGCAGCACCGGGAGCACGAAACGATGTCGTCCAGTATACTGGACGTCAGCACTTGAGGGGCTAAATTGCTGTATTCGTATACTGCAGCCGCTTCGCGGGTGTTCCGTTTTTCTTCCCTTGCTGCATTCAAGCTAATGTGGGAAGATTGATTTAACCCTTTTAGATGTTGTGGATGTATGTGGATTGATGGATGGATGCTTGCTGCAAACAATCTCGAGAAATATGAACAGCTGATTGATGATACTCGTCTTGGACATCTAAGATCGAATATGTGCAACAAAAAAACGTGCACAGGGGAGTTAATCTCTGTCGAAATACAATCCCCCCCCCCCCTCTCTCCGGACGTCGAACATGGAGGATTCTTATTTCACTTCTTCAACTATTTCATGGATTTTTTTTTTAAATTAGAGTCCGAACCCTCAGGACGATATTGATTTACGTAATGAGCACAATTATTACTGATTATACCACCTACTCCGTGCTATTCACGTTGCAACGTTCATAACTTTTAGATCAAGACAATTTTTAAAAAAGATAAAACATTATGTTTAACTTTCTGATACACTCGTCCGGTAGAAAAAAAAAATTGGGGATTATCACATGCTGATACACTAAACTTTAAAAATTTGAATTGGGGTCGACTGACAGCGGCTACTCAACCTTCTCAGGGATTGAAGGAGAGTATTTTCTACCGTCCGTACCGTACCGCATTATAGCTTCTTATTCCCTCCCACTCAAGAACAACAGCGAACAGCGGTCCGTGAGAGAGAATGTAATGACGTCAGTGATGCTGTTGCGAAGCAGGCTAACTGGAAGCCATTAAATTTACCACCGCGCTCATTGTCTCTAATGGTCCAATATGAACGGGTGATTCTCATGTGTTGGGCTCGATTTGGACAGCGGAGTTCCGGACGAAGGTGGTGTGCCAAGGAGAGAAGTTGGCTTTAGACTGTGGGCCAGGGGAGAGGATAGTCTTCCTCTCCGCCTTCTTCGGCCGCGACCCCAAAGATGCCCCTCGATGCCCTCAACCTCGAGGAGTCCACGAAGAAGGTCAGCCAACCTTGACGTTTCCATTCTGCCCATTTTATCATTCTATTCTCCTTTCTCCTAACCTTAAGGGTATGTTTTTTTTTTTCTTTTTACATTTCATGCCTCCCCGGCAGACCGGCTTTTCCGTATAGTTAGTCTCGCTGCACATGGTTCTACTTCAACAGTTATAATTTCATTTAATGGTCTGGTCCTTCTCGGCACTGTGGAAACAAACTAGACATTTCGAAAGCTAAGAATTGAAAATCAACACTCGTAACTCAACTCCATTCCCTTCCCTTCTCTCGGTACACATACGAACCGCCAGGGTTCTATGCCCTCTTTACGGTTAACTTTGGCAAACGTTCATGTAGACGGCGTGAAAGCTGATGTTGCTTGGCAGGATGTTGCCTTGAAAGGAACCTCTCGTAAGTGTCAACCTACCAGCTCGGCAACTTAGAATACAAGACGAACTACTGAGAGGTGATGGAGTATCCAGCCTTCTCATCCTCCTTTTTCTTCCTCCTGTGACTGCTATACCAGCTGCCATCAGTGTCTCGCCCTGACCCAAATTCGATAGAAGCTTGAGCTTCGTAGAAGCTAAGAATGCCCAGATGTCCCGGTCGGAAACGGACAAGAAAATAAAATTTGTGGGAAAATTTTCGACGAGAATCGAAATATTGCACGATATCTCTGCAGCTTGTGAGGCGAGCTACGCAAACGAGTTCGTGCTGGGAGTGTGCAAGAGGAAGCGGAAGTGCATCCTCGAAGCAGACTCGTCCATCTTCAAGGCTCCCTGTCGCCCCAACTCCAAAGGATACCTGAAAGTTGCCTCCACCTGTGGTGAGCTACCTCTTAATACAACTTTTAATCTCGATGCTCATACACGTAGCGAATATCAGTTCTCATCCGCAACCTTTTTCCAACACGAGTCTGTCAAAATGACTTTCGCAAATTTAATCCAAAGAATGAATAAAGAAAAGTGGCTATTGCTCATGAACAATAAAAGGGGAGCGAATGATTTAATTAATATGAAAATGTCGGTAGGGCTGCAATTTAAATTAAGGGGAAAGAACTGCAAGTGGTAAAACTAAAAAATAACTAGCAAATAAGGATCAGCTTGCTTCGAGATCGAAACTAATAGGCAGTGTGACGTCTATGGGTAGAAAAGAAAAGCAAAGGTAGGGAGGAATCAGGAAATGGCTTCACACCGTGAGAGCAATCGCTGGAACAAAGAAGTGAGGAAAAGTGAAGGGGAAAGCCTTTTCGGGAGGACATTCTTCTGCTGATACGGAGTGAGGATCTCCTAAGATCCCCTTCTATGCTTCGATCAGCACGACACGGCGGAGTGTTTTCTATGGAGGATTCAATTAATTTTGCGTGCCTTTCAAAGAGGAAGATCCATTTTCTGCGTGAGAACAAGGGCACAAGCTGAACGGTAGTTCGATGATCCTTCTTCATCCCCAATCGACTCCATTCTCCTTTTAACGTGCTATTCCTAACCAGGGAAACGACGAAGCAGTTTTTCTTACTTGTTTATCGCATGGCAGGTTTCAAAAGGTTTTTCTTTCTTTTATATTTCCTTGCTTTTTTCCAGTCCCCAGGGATGTCCTCCTGCAGGAATTCCAGGGCGATCTCCTAGAGGACGAGATGGAAGAGGAAAGCACAGAAACGTGGCTCGACGAAGATGACAAACACTCCCGGCAATCACTCTCCCTCTCCACTTTGGGGAAACGCCCGGAAAAAGGTAAATTTAGACCGGATACTCCATATACGCAAAAAAAAAGTTTCGATGTCGGCCGATGCGGAAACGAGAGGGAAAAGAAGTTTCTTCTTCGTTGATCTCCAGGCGACAATGAAAGAGGAGCATCTTCTCTGGTCCAATTAGGGTAAAGAGATCCCCTCATCCATCTTCCATGCTTAGAGGCCAACTGTACATCTGGCTCTGATTCCCGAAAGTCTGTCTCCTTTTATTTCCTTCATCCCTTCCTCATGGGGACGACTTCATCCCTCTTCTTCCGTTGGCATATGCAGATGGGTCGAGAACTCGAAAGGTAATGATTTCACAAACGAAAAACGTTACAGTTCCTGCTTGCTGGAGATGCACATCACATATGAAATGTCATCATGATTCCTACTTTTCATATCGTACTTCGTGCTACGCAAGTTCGAGCCTGCAGTTCATATAACCTCCAGAAGGTTCTCGCTACCTCTAAATACTTTTTGGTTTTGCTCACAGACATTTTTCATGTGAGGAAACACTGCCAATGGGAAATACCTCCTCCCGTTCAAACTACAAGTCTAACTATGCGATGTTATTATTCAAAAGTTTAGCAATCAGTGCCAATATTTACAAATACGTCAAAAGCGAGAGGAAGAATCGTGCCCACAAAGGCAAATGAAGGAGGCTTTATTTAGGTGTTCTCGGTTTAATAAGAGTTTGAGATGATCTCGACTTAAGAATGTGGGTTGCTTGGGAATTTTCCCTTGGGAGTTTCCGGCAAAGTCGACTCACTCGAGTGCTGATTGGACTGTCTATTTTTCAGGTGAACGTGGATCGGGATGGTCGTCGGATGTCCCAGTCCCGGCTCAGGAGGTAGACCTTTCTTCAGTGGACGTCGGGACCGGTACCCCGACCACCAAAGACCCTAGCAACGACACCCTCTCCCGGGACCCTTATGTGGCCCTCGTCGTCGACTGGATCACCGCGTATCAATTCATACAGGGTAAGGATTAAACACTCAGATTTTCTTGCCTTTTTTTCAGTCTTAGACCCAACTGATAGTATTCCATTGAACGTCTATAGCAAAAATTGAGAATAATTCTATCGGATTTTACAATATTTTAAAACATGAAACCATTTTCAACTTTATACAGAATCCAATAAATATCTATAGTTCTCTAAGCCTTAGATTGATCGTGTTAGAACTATTAGAATACAGAATTCTCTAGGATCGGATAGGCTCTACCATTGATTCTTGTGTTTGTACGGAACACCTTTCCGGGAGCCCATCCGAATGCTTAGGAGTTTACATCGATGAGGAAATTTTCCTTCGCGAGATGGTTTCCTCCTGCAGCATCGATGCAGAACGTGAGGCATGATCCTCAGGAACCAGATTACCTTCCCCTGGCCCCAAGGAGACCGGGAGATCAATTATGCAAATTTGGCAAATTTGCCCTCCGTTCGATCTCTTTTTCTCGTGTTTGAGAAGCGGACATGGGGATCGTTCAGATAGGCTACTTCCAGGGCACATTTCGCTTGTCTCTACCTCTCATATATAAAAGCCCATCTCTGCTTTTCAGATATAGAGGGCTAAAATTCCATAGAATCAGACACGCTTATGCATGAAGACTAATTTCGAGGATTGAACAACTTTGAAACGCATTTCCCGTGCCATTGAATTATAGTTGCATCGCTGACTCCAGCTGTTAGGCAGATGTGCATGTGTGTAGAGAAATAAAAAATGCCTATGGAATCTTCATGAATGTTTCAAAATTGTTGTATAAGTAACTATGTTTTTGAACGCATCTTTTGTGCTGTTAATATAGGAATAGAAAATAAAGTGTTTGACCTTTTAAGGGGACAAGAATCAGTGGAAAGGCGCTCAACCGGGCAAATTCCATAGGACGGTAAAAAAAAAAAATCAATCAACCTTATCTGCTCGTCCACAGTATCTCTCACCAAAAGTGAGAGATACTGTACTCTCACTAAGTTTTAATATCCCATGAGATTTTCAATACCGTTTTTACACTTAAGAAGAGGGTCTAATGTCTTGCCAAAGGATAACCTATACAAGAGTTAAGTCTGAACACAGCCTGCGAAAGCGCTTGCGTCAATACGGGGTTTGAGGGCGACATGCACCCATCGGTTTGCATATACTGTAATGGGTCCTCATGGAAACCGGATTAACTGAGCCGATCTCGTTCTCATCAGATCGGCTTATACTGTAGTTAAACCGGTGAGACGCATATCGTACAAGCAAATATTTCGTGTCGTTCTGCAGCGAACAAGGAGACGTTCATCCTGTACCTGGTGCTGAGCATAAGTGGCGGAGTGCTGCTATTCTGTTCCGCGCTCGTCCTCCGGATCATGGCTTCGAGGGGGCGGCGGAAGGAGCGAAACGAGGCAGACAGCGAGAAGCCGCTGGGTCCCGGAGTCAACGGCGGCCTCCTCCCGTTCCCCGGGGACTCGGACACGGAGAACGAGGGCGGCAGTGGAGACTTGACCTTCGTGGGAGATCTCACCTCCTTCGGAGTCCTTTCTCCGCCGGATGACGTCACCCTGGACGTGGTTCGGTATACATCGCGGGGGACGCTGCGTCGACAGGACAGTGACACCCACCCGAGGAGCTTCAGCCGGCATCTCGACGAACATCATCTCTATAGCTGAGAGGAGCCACCCTTTCCTCCCTTCTTTCCTTGATCTCGTCTCACAATTGTGGTGCAGAAGAAAAAATTGCACTCCTGGTGTTGTTCCAGGTCGGTTTTTGCAGAGTAGGCCTATTTTTGGACCACTTGCATTTTTTTTTGGTTAAAATTTGGTTAAACCTGTTGGCATAGTTTTTTTTTAAATATAAATCTTAAGAGAATTTGCAAAGCAGCTTTGGAGAAAGTCTGTACTCAACTACAGTCAGCTGTAGATACTCTTCATGCCACTTTCTTTTTTTGTTTTGGTTTTGCATGGCTGGCTCCCTCTCATCCGAATCTAGTCATGTGCCAATATGGAACGAGGAAACTTTCGTCCGAAAACGATGGTGTGACCAGGACTTTGTCTCCAGGTCGCTTTATATTGTATCTGTGATGCGAAAGATGAAATATCTTCGACTGCCACGATGACGATGCACATTTTTTTTGTCATACTTTCTGTCACATTTGTCTGTGTCTTGTGGTGCTATATGTGGTCAAAATAGATTTTTAATGACCTTTTATTTGAAGATGTCATCAATCCGCAAACCCTGGAAATTGGTTCGTTTTCGGGACCTGCCATTCATGAAATTACTGTTTAAAACTTTCCTTATCTGCCTCCCTTCCATGGTGATTTTTCGAAAGTATGAGCAAAATAAAATTTATATCAGGCGGATCTCTTCATATGAAGACAATGAATCCATGATTGAATACCAATTGGTGAACGTATCCATGCCCAGACTTGTAGTAAATCGAAACATTTCTTGAAATGAATGGAAAGCTTCTCATTAATTTCCTCAGAGTTCACAGATGTTTTTACTGTTCAGTTTTACAAGTGCCTTATATTCATCCTGGTGAAGCGACTGGCAAAGAAAAAGTGAAACACTTTTGATTATGTGCTAATACCTAATCCCGCGTACAATTCAGAAAACAGTTTGGGGAATATGGCTGGATTCCCCTGCGTTCCATTAAACAACGTGTACTGCAAACTCACATGCCAGCACATTAATACAGAATTCTCACATGAATTTAATATTGACCCACAATTTCAAGGAAGCATCTTAATTGAGGTCGAGCTTTCTGACTACTAATATCCAATCGATTGGGAATTTACGTATACATTTTTTTCCCATTTTGAAGAATACATTCTCGAAATGCAGGCCTAAGCCTTTGCATGAAATGTTTCTCTCGATGAGCCAAATGAACCGGAGAGAAAGTAGTATTTTTTGCACACTCTAACTACCTTACACAGCAGTAGAAAGAATGAACAGTCTACCTTCTCGAGCAGGTTTTCCTTTGGCAATCTCGTAGAGCCACTCCATATACTTTTGCTTACTGGGCTCCGTCTCGGCCTGGATGAGGCGCCTTCTTGGAAAGATCCAGTTGAGAAAAAAAAAAGGCCCTTCCCCGTCGAGATCGCGAAAATTGCGGAACATGGACGTGAGGCCATGGAGGAGTGTCGCCATGCTGTTCACCATCTGTCCGAGGAAGTTGGTCAGGAATACCTCCATGTTGTCGGGGTCCACCGTACTCATGAAACCTCCCATCCGGGGCTCCATATGGCGGTGGCGCTCTCTCGGGACCGTGCTAATAGAGCCTCCCTCCCCGGCCCCGGTCGGATCGGGGGACTCCGTCGAGAGCCCTCCCGACTCCCCTGGTCTTCCCGTTGTCACCAAGCTTCCTGCTAGGGCCAGATCCCCTCTTCGAAAGGCTCTTTGCCATCCTCGGATGGATTGAGTGAGACGCTGTGTCGAAACTTGAATCCACTCGGTGAATCTTAAGAGTCCAGTGTTGAGACGGTTCGCCCATGTATTTAAGAAGTTCACCAGCCAGATCTCAATTTGGCTTGGGTTCGAATTCCCGTTGAAGACGATCACTTCTTCCGCATTCGTATTCGACCAGGGAAGAACGGTTATTAGTGCACCAACGACGCCGAAGAACGTCTGAGAAACAAAACAATTTATTTTCTATGTGGGGAATAGTAAGGATGAGCAGAAAAATAATTTGACTTTTGCATTTCGGCAAATTAATTTACTAGTTTAGTACAGTAGTTTTTTATTTTTTTTTAATTAGGAACGTGAACAACTTCCAAAACTACGTTCATGTTTGCTGCCACTTCGTTCCACATCCATCAAAACGAAGTAAGCAGTCATTTTGGAAGTTAAATGCTTCGCACTTTCTTAACAAGTCCAAGCAAAAAACGAGATTCCGTGTAAGGAAAGAGGGAAACTCACTTTCATGTCGAATGGGAGAGGAAAAAGGAAATCTATGAAACCGTCCAATCTCGTCCACCATAACCCTTACATCATTCCACAGCTTGAAGTTGCGCAGTACACAATGAAGTCACTCATGCATAGTAATGGTATCCAGTGAGCTGAGATTGAAGAGGAAAGGACTCGATCGCTTTTTTTTCATTCGGTCTCTCCCGTTACTCAGAACCAGTCTCTGGAACCGTTAGAAATCCCAGGCATGAGACGTCATGAGAGCATTTCAAATTTTTCTACCAGGGTTGTCAAAAGGTTTACTTTCCCCCCCATATTTTCTTTTGCCACGGAAAAAAACCTATTGATTCTGACTCCCGTGAAACTGACCAGGCCCATCGAGACTTCACGGCAGAGGCTTACTTCATTATTTTTGTACGAGTATGCGAGTTTGGTATTTTGGTAAAATGAATTTACCTGGGACTCCTTGACTGGTCGGCGTCATTTTGTCCCAGATTTGTATCGGAACGGTCGCTCTCGTTGTCTATTGTGGATTTCTTGGGGAAACTCATTCCTCCGAATTAGCACCTAGGTGTCTAAAGCAAGAAGCTTCTAAAATACTTTCCTCTGGATAAATGGGAGAAATTCCGTTTGCTTAAATTCGAATAAAAGAAAATACCATTGCTTTCCATGATTCAACAAACTTCATTTCAAAACTCAACAGCCAACAACCAACGTGGGAACAAAATTAGCAACAACAGATTGGCACCGAAATAAGTGCGAAAGACAAAATGGGATGAGGGATAATAGAGGTGAGATTAACAAAAGGCAAAAAAGCTTGTTCGGAAAAAAGAAAATAGCGGAGTAAATAAGTGAACACGAATTGGACTTTCTCTATGGGCAATAAATAAGATTTTGAGTACATTTTTCGAACCTGGCCGAGAATTTCGAGGAAAATGTAGTGCCGATATCCTGTGAAATATTGCTATTGAATTTTCGACCATATGTGAAATCAGGCAATGCCCTGATCACAAGAACAAGACCCGGTCACATCACATCGTACGAAAACCATAAGCAAAAATGGAGATCCCTGAGAGATCACACAAGTCAGCTTTTTTCTTTTCTTTTTTGTTTTCCGTCTTTCTGCTGCATTTCTGGATGGTCGTTGCCGTCACCGGGGAAAAAGCGAGGGAGAAATAAGTGCAAAAAATTGCACATACACCACCACCTTGACTTTCTGCGTCACGCAGTGCACGAGGCTCCATCGTTGATTCTCATCTCCCTAGAAGAAAGCATGCGAACTTAAGTCATTTCCTGATTCCAATTTCAGAAGAACTCAAAAGAACAGTGTCGGCTATCTGTGGCGTAAAGATGTTTTGCAAGATCTCAATTGGGAGGCTTAGGATGATTCTATGGTTTTAAGTGCATAAGTATCATATCAAGGGCTGAATTTGAACAAATAAATTAGATTTGCGGATCAGAAATTATGGAATATCGAGGGAAGTTCTCTGCATTGCATACAAAGGAATCCTAGAAAAAAAAATTAGAAATGGTCTTTGGGACTTGAAGACTTGAAGTTTCACTTGGATTATCTCGTATGCAATGAAAGAAAGAGTTAAAATAAACTCACGAGTGGAAACATGTGAAAAACTTGTTCAACGTCCGTGAGAGCTGTGGGATCCGCCGTGTCCGTGCTTGTTGCTGTGCTTGTGCTTGTGCTTGTGACCGTGCTTGTGCTTGTGCCCGTGCTTGTGCTTGTGCTTGTGCCCGTGCTTGTGCTTGTGGCCGTGGTAGTGCTCATGCTTATGCTGGTGCTTGTGCTTGTGTTGATGCTTATGCTTGTGCTTGTGGTCGTGAGCGTGCTTGTGGTTGTGACCGTGCTTGTGCTTGTGGGCGTGCTTGTGACCGTGCTTGTGTCCGTGCTTATGTTTGTGACCGTGCTTGTGCTTATGACCGTGCTTGTGTCCATGCTTATGCTTGTGCCCGTGCTTATGGCCGTGTTTTTCTCCACCCGACGATAGGCTGCCTCCTCCCGAACCAGATTTCCTGTCAATCAGAAACATTGACAATCCACTCACAGAAAAGCTTTTACTCTACTTCTTACATTTGATATTTTCTTGTACAAGGATAAATATTTTTTTTTTATGGCATTGACTTCCAAGATTTTGAGGATTCTATCAAGTTAACTCAGGAAATTGAAATTCTAGGAAGCTGCAATTTTAATGTTATTTTCTCAAATGATGAAATATACTGCCCTCCAAGGAAGTCTTGCAGCTGTTTCACACGGTCAAATATCTTGCACGTTGAGCATCGTGTCGGAACGTCTCTCTACAGGGACTATTCGTTTTCTAACTCATGCTAACTACAACCATATCTCTACTATGAAATCGAAGTCCATCTCGGGCATTCGATCAGAATGGGATCGAGAAAACTGATGTGATGGGCTTCGAGGCTAATTTAATGCGATTTCGTGCAGCCGATGATTTTTGATGCGGTAAGTTTGGCGCGATGAAGGGCAAGCACGCTTATGTAAGACAATAAGCTACCCAACAGAGTGAACCTCATTCAGCTTTGTCCTCACAGTGCTAAGAAATTCCATCACGGGAAAGCGTTCCAAGATTTTTGGAGGGCTGTCTCAAAGCAAAAAATATATAAAAAATATGGAAAATGAAGAAATTCATAAGCCTCTACACTAATTCTGAGATGCATGAAACCTAAGTTTGTTCACCAATCGAAAGAACAAGAGGTTACCGTTATGCTCGTATCTCCATGCGAACTAGTGAATCGCATTCGGTATTACATTGCAGGCGTACAGTGCCTACCACA